CCATCTTGCCCTCCCTAACTGCTGCATGAGCCACGGTGCCTGGCCTTCTACAAAAAACTTTTTAAAAAATTACCCGGGTTTCGTGGCGCGTGCCTGTAGCCCCAGCTACTCAGGAGGCTGAAGCAGGAGGATCACCTGAGCCCAGGAGGTTGAGGCTGCAGTGAGCCGTGATCACACCACTGCACTCATCCTGGTGTTCAACAGAGCAAGATCCTGTCTTGGGGGGAGAAGAAGAGAAAAGAAAGAAAATGACATTACCCAAGTCCAGTGAGGCTATGGTTGGAATTCCATCTTTGACACTACCTAGCTGGGTAACCTTAAGCCAGTGGTCCTTCCACAGCCTACAACATCAACATCACCTGGGAACTTGTTAGAGATGCAAACTCTTGGGCTGTGCCCCAGCCCACTAAATGACAGTTCTGGGCGTGGAGCCCTCCAGGTGGTTGGGATGCCCCTACTTTGAGAACCATGGCCTTAGGCAATTCATGGAGCTCTTTGAACCAGAGTTCCCCCCACCTGGAAAACAGGTGAGAATCCTGCCCACCTGCTGCCACTGTCGTGGGGAGGCTTAGAAGAGAGGATGCACTGCAGAGTGCCCGCTGCCCGGCATAGGAAGGCCCCTCTTGCAGGAGCCCCCGCAGGAAACTTGCAAGTTTATCTTGTGTTTTCCCAGCACTTGGAGATATTGAGCGTTGATGCTTTTTATTGCTTTCTCCCCTTCCTCATTTTATGGTTAGTGATTTAATGGCTTATTTGCTTTCCTGTCTGTTCTCTCATTTTACATGTACTGATTTTGTTTTGTTTTGTTTTGTTTTTTTACTTTTCTCTTTTGCAGATAAAGACTATTTCCTGATTGTGATTCAGAATCCAACCGAATAGGCCACTCTCCTGACTCCCTGTGTCATTCCTTAATTTAATGTCCCCCAAGAATGTTAAATGTCGATCATGTTAGCAGACTAGCATGTGACAGTCACCTTGGAGCCCACTCAGACCAATCCAATGACCATGTGTGGGCTGGCGGCTCTTCCTCCCCAACCAAAGGAACCCCTGTGCTGTGCCGGCCTTCCCCAGACTTCCCGGAGGGCCCTCTCACCTCACTTCCAGGTTTTGGAGCAAGAACTTGCGAGAAGCCTGCACCCAGCTTCCTTCTGACCTTCAGTTCACTTTGTTGCCCTTGGAGAAGGCTGTTTTTCTTTAAGTAAAAATAACCAAAATGCTTACCCTGCTGTTGTGTCTTTAAACACCAGGTTGAAAAGGTCTCTCTCTTCCTGTGTAATCACACATCAGCGGCCTGGTTGCCTCCTCCAGCGATGGTGGGAGATCATGTTCATGGCCTCCAAGAGGCCTGCTCTTCTTGTGCCTGTGGCCATACTTACTGTAGCTTGGTGTGTAATTGTGCCCTGGTTTCTGGGCCTCTTGGCCCTAGTCCCCCTTTTACCATTTCCCACTGCTGTCAGTGTTGAAAGGCTTTTTTCCTACTATGCTGCACTGGGGAAAGGAAGAGAGCAGTGCTCACTGAGGACCTGGAATGCACCCGGTGTGTCATATACAGTAGCTCTCACCTTATGGTACCCTCTGTAGACTAGAGCCACCTCAGACATGAGGACTTGGGGTCTGAAACGGCTTGCCTATGCCCTTATGGCCAGGACATGGGTCTCGGACTCAGATAGCCCCACTCTTCCCACACTGCCTGCCCCAGAAATCCTGAAGGGCCCCTGTTCACCCAAATAAGCCCATCCTGGGCAGACATCTGCCCCGCAGACTCAGGGTGCAGGGGTCCTCTCGCCAAGAGCTTCCCAGAATTCACCTGCACTCAGGCTCCCACCCACCTCTCGCCCAGCCACACTCTTGTTTTTTCTCCCAGAAACCACATGTATTTAATTTTATTAGGGTTTTTCTTTTTGTCTTCTGTTTCCTGTTACACAGGAAAAAGACTCCACACTGTGTAATATGAGCCTGGAAATCCCCGTCATTGTCCTCCCTGCCCCAGAAGGCACCACTGTCTGTGAGTTCTTCCATCTAGCAATACTTCCCAGATTTTCCAGTGAAGCTTCCTTAAGGCTATCAGAGTAGTAAAATATGTACTCTTGGGAGGTTAGGGGTGTAGTTTACAAGGGCTTGGCAAAATTCTTCAAAATCTAATGAAAGATAATAGGAATTTTCCATTCTATAATATATCCGTGATTGTCTTAATATAAAAATAATCCTTTCAAACAGATTTCCCTGAATCTTCAAGTAACGTTGTCTGGGAAACACTGGTTTACCCTGTCCCTGTGGACCTAGGAAGCGCCCTCTGAGAGTGGATGACTGCGGACGCCACGTGGTGATTATCTCCTAGGTTCCATGCTTCAAACGAAAGTGGGCTGTGGCCAGCAGCATCTTCCTTGTGTTCTCAGAAGCTGGGATCTGAGTCTGAGGCTCCTCTGTCTTGCTTGAGTTTCTCTAAGTATAATGCGGAAGGAGGTCAGAGGAGGAGAGGTCAGGTTTCTAGGATGGGGGGTGGGTCTGTCCCTGGCGGGAGGTGTTCTGGCTCCAGAGCAAGAGTTCGGAATAGGGTTGGGGGCCTGTCCCTTCCACCTTCCCTTAGTTCCCCTACCACTCCCTGTTGTTTGCCTTAAAGTTCCCCAACCTAAAAGCATTCCATCAAGGTCCTGGGGGAAGTTTCTTAGGAAAATGAAGATACTCTGCCTCCCAGTCCCTTGAGCACCAGGATTTTGTACATCAGGAGCCCACCATGTGCATTAGGAGTCTGTAATGCAGCAAGGCAAGCATAATTCCCTGGACTCATCTTAAGACATAAAAATTTGGCCTGGCGTGGTGGTTCCTGCCTGTAATGTAATCCTAGCACTTTGGGAGGCCAAGGTGGATCGGTTGCTTGAGCCCAGGAGTTCAAGACCAGCCTGGGCAACATGGCAAAACCTCGTCTCCACCAAAAATATGAAAATTAACTGGGTGTGGTGGTGTGCGCCTGTAGTCCCAGCCACTGGGGAGCCTGAGATGGGAGGATCGCTTGAGGTTGAAGCTGCAGCAAGCTATGAGTGTGCCACTGCACTCCACCTAGGTGACAGTGAGAACTTGTCTCAAAAAAAAATATGAAAAGTTTATGGCCAGAGAGAAGGTTTACAGAAAAAAAAAAAAAAAAAAAGATTAAAATTCAGATATTTCTTTTTTTTTTTAAGATGGGGTTTCACCATGTTGGTCAGGCTGGTCTTGAACTCCTCACCTCAGGTGATTCACCCACCTTGGCCTCCAAAGTGCTTGGATTACAGGCATGAGCCACGACGCCCGGCCAGATTTTTCTTTTTTAAGACAGAATCTGTCGTCCAGGCTGGGGTGCAGTGGTGCAACTCAGCTCACGGCAACCTCCACCTCCTGGGTCCAAGTGATTCTCCTGCCTCAGGCCTCAGCCTCCTGAGTAACTGGAACTACAAGCGCCCACCATCACACCTGGCTACTTTTTTTTTTTTTGAGACAGAGTCTCACTTTGTTGCCCAGGCTGGAGTTCAGTGGCACAATCTTGGCTCACTACAATCTCTACCTCCTGGGTTCCAGTGATTTTCTTGCCTCAGCCTCCTGAGTAGCTGGGACTACAGGCGCCCACCACCACACCTGGCTAATTTTTGTATTTTCAGTAGAGACAGGGTTTCACCATGTTGGCCAGGATGGTCTTAATTTCTTTACCTTGTGATCCGCCTGCCCTTGGCCTCCCAAAGTGCTGGGATTATGGGTGTGAGCTGCCTCGCCCAGCCTTAATTTTTGTATTTTTTTGTAGAGATGGGGTTTCACCATGTTGGCCAGGCTGGTCTCAAACACCTGGCCTGAGGTGATCTTCCTGCCTTGGCCTCACAAAGTGCTGGGATTACAGGCATGAGCCACTGCGCCTGGCCAAAATTCAGATTTTTAAGAATCTAAATGATGATATTCCACATAAACAACTCCAGTGTTTCTGTACTCAGAAGTAGCATGTATGCTATCAAGGTTAGAAACTGACAACTGTCGTAGGCCTGGAAGGAAAAGCATGGGTTCTGAGTTCAGAGGAACATTTGCCAATACAGCAAAGGCGTGCCCGCACCCAGTATTTTCTTTTTTTAGATGGAGTCTCTGTCGCCCAGGCTGGTTCACTGCAACCACCTCCACCTCCCAGGTTCAAGGGATTCTCCTGCTTCATCCTCCTGAGTAGCTGGGACTACCAGCATGCGCCACTATGCCTGGCTAATTTTTGTATTTTTAGTAAAGACGGGGTTTCACCACATTGGCCAGGCTGGTCTCAAACTCCTGACCTCGTGATCTGTTTGCCTAGGCCTCCCAAAGTCCTGGGATTACAGGCGAGAGCCACTGTGACTGCCCAATTTTTTAATGAAAAACTTCAAACCTATAGATAATTGAAATAATTGTGTATCTTCCATCTCAATTCTATAGTTAACCATTTTGCTATATTTCTGTATCACATAACTTTCCATTCTTCCATCTATCTATCTTATTTTTTATGCATTTCAAAGTATATTGCAGGCAGTACCTGCCCCTAAGCACTTCCACGTGTAAATCAGTAACTAGTTTGTTTTCTGTTTTTGAAGGATGGGTAAGATTTACATAGAGTAAAATGCACAAATCTTTAAAGTGACAAATGTGACCCCTGAGTAACCTCAGCCCTTTCAGGAAAGCGGCTGCTGCTTCTTCACAGTTGGCCCAGCCCACTCCCGAGAGGCCACCCTGTTCTCATTTCCACCAAGTATGATTTCTGCCCTCTAAGGTACAGCTCTTGCCTGGGCTTCATGAGCAGGGCCTGCATCTCAGCGAGGTGGTTGCTGCTTGGGAGGTGCCGCAGCTGGCATCTCCCTCAGCATTCATGCCTCGCCTCCACCCTGGCCACAGCGCCCTGGCCACAGCGCCCTGGCCACAGCTCCCTGGCCACAGCGCCCTGGAATTTGGATCCTCCTCTGCAAGCTGGTACTGCCTTTTCTCCAGAAATTAAAAATGTTCCAAGGATTCTAGGTTTTCTTGCCTTCCATATGTTTTTGGCGCTGAGACACTGCATGTTGGCACATTTTTCATTGAGAATCCTAAAAGCCATCTTTCCATACCAAATTCCAGAAAAAGAAAAAATGAAAAATGGAGGTCTCAGATTCCATCGTCACAGCAGGTAGAAATCACTAAGTCACCAAATCCATCAAATTAGTAAGCACACCCCAGTGTGCGTGAACTTACACTGATCAATTATGTGTTCAGTTGAGATGACAACACAGTTAACAGAACGTGTTCAAAATGCTGGTCCTGCTGCTGTGGCAAACAAGCTTAATCCAACAAAAGCACCTTGATTTTGGTCTCCTACTGTCTAACTTTACTGTTCAGGGCGTGTTCTACCCCATCCCTAGGTGAGATGTGGGGCAAGCCCTGCCCTGGGCAGATGAAGCCCCTTGTCCACCACAGGAACAACTCTGAGCCCCATTTGGAGAGAGAGGCCACCCCTTCCACCGTGGGCCCGCACGGAACCTCGCTCTCTTCAAGGGGAGAGCAGCTTGTGTTTGGCCTTGGTTTTATTTGCCACTTGGTGCTGTCACCTGTTTTGCCCAAGTTGCTGGGGAGGGTGAGGTGGGGAGCGGAAGTTCATCATTCACAGATACTGCTGTGAGCAGGCTTCTGGCTCCCGAGCCTGGGGGGTGCGTTTTTATGAGCTTTCACAGGCATGCCCCGCCCTCTTCTGTTGGCAGCTCCACTCCCTCCGGAGGATGCGCCCTCTGGCCGGTGCTGTCTATCCTTGGCTCCTGGCTCTCAGGGTCTCCCCTCTACACACTCTCTTCTGTAGACTGGAGGTGAAGCAGAAACCCCACCGCCTTCCTCTGTGGGTGGTAAGATTCATAGTCTCTCGGTGGCCTCTAAAAATTATCCTCGAACTTCCAGCTCCTTTATAGATCATCCTTTATAGACCGTGTTCCCAGCAGAAGCCTGAGCTCACTTGGGACCGCCTGGTGTTGCATCCAGGCTGCTGCTGGTCCAGGGACGATGCCTTAGGGGTCTCAGCAGAAACGAAGAAAATTCAACTTCAACCCTCTAGTTCACAAGAAATATGTTGTTAGTTGCTTTCCCTAAAAAAGACTGGTGATCTGGAAGTAAGCAGCTATGTAAAAAAAAAAAAAAAAAGACTAGGTGAAAAAGGGAATTCATATATATATATATATATATATATTTTTTTTTTTTTTTGAGACAGAGTCTTACTCTGTCACCCAGGCCGAAGTAGAGTGACGTGATCTCGGCTCACTGCAACACCTGCCTCCTGGGTTCAAGCCATTCTGCCTCAGCCTCCCGAGTAGCTGGGATTACAGGCGTGCACCACCATACCTGGGTAATTTTTTAATATTTTTAGTAGAGACAGTGTTTCACTGTTGCCCAGGCTGGGCTCCAATTCCTGGCCTCAAGCAATCCTCCCGCCTCAGCCTCCCAAAGTGCTGGGATTACAGGTGTGAGCCACCATGCCTGGCATACTTGATTTTTAAATACTACAGCTGGGCGCGGTGGCTCACGCCTGTAATCCCAACACTTTGGAAGGCCGAGGCGGGTGGATCACGAGGTCAAGAGATCGAGACCATCCTGGTCAACATGGTGAAACCCCGTCTCTACTAAAAATACAAAAAATTAGCTGGGCATGGTGGCGCGTGCCTGTAGTCCCAGCTACTCAGGAGGCTGAGGCAGGAGAATTGCCTGAACCCAGGAGGCGGAGGTTGCGGTGAGCCAAGATCGCACCATTGCACTCCAGCCTGGGTAACAAGAGTGAAACTCCGTCTCAAAAAAAAAAAAAATAAATAAATAAATAAATAAATACTACAAGTGTTTAGGTAAAAATTAAATGTTAAAAGTTTGCAATAAACTAACAATATGCTACAGCATGATAAGCCAGGGCTTTCCAGCCCCTTTCTAATGAAGTAACTAAAGAATGAGGAGCATCATCTAGAAGTCCAGGGTGAATCTGCCGGAGTCAACCAAAGAGAAGCCCCTGCAAACATGAAACTCTCTCTAGAAATGTACACACGTTTGCATCCCAGTGGCTCCAGGCGGAATGTGGAGCTGCGTGGGGTCAGGAGCCCAGGCAGCCAGGTGAGAACTGATGGCGGTTTGGGCAAGAGCAGTTTCATGGGGCCGGAAGGAGGGATTCTGAAGAGACAGTGCCAGGTCTCGCTGGGGACGGCTGGAAAGTGAGGAAATGAGACATCAAGGGAGACTCTCGGTGCCTGCTTGGTAACCAGGTGCTGCCATTCACTCAGAGGAGGCTCACTGGGGACCTGTGGGACTTGCATGGGAAAGATCACATGCAATTTGGAAATGGCCTGCTTAATCTGAGCCTGTCAGACACCCACGTGTATAGTAAGAATGTCGAGCAGACTGTTGAATACCCTATTCTGCCAGTCCTTGCTAGACAAAAGGATATGGAGCTATCAGCCTGTTACTGGTATTTAAAGCCAAGGAGACTGGGTGCGGTGGCTCACATCTGCAATCCCAGCACTCTGGGGGGCCAAAGTGGGAGATTCGCTTGAGCCCAGGGGTTCAAGATTAGCCTGGGTAACATGGTGAAACCCCATCTCTACTAAAAATACAAAAAACAGCTGGTTGTGGTGGCGAGTGCCTGTAGTCCCAGCTACTCGGGAGGCTGAGATGGGAGGATCACTTGAGCCCGGCGGGTCAACGCTGCACTGTGCCACTCACTCCAGCCTGGTTGACAGAGTGAGACAGCCTCGCAAAAAAAAAAAAAAAAGCGTCTGGAGCCCCAGTCATCCAGGTGGCAACTGATAGAGAATGGGGATGGCAAAGAATGTACCTTTCCCTTTAAGGCGATTTCCCAAGAGTCCTATAGAGCGCTTTCCACTTAGGCCTAATTGACTGAGGTTCAGCCAGCTGCCACTCCTGACTGTGGAAGCCAGGTGCATGCCGCACGGAGACACCCAGGGCTCTCTTCGAAGGGGGACTGGGACAGCGGCTGCTGAAGTTGGCTGTCAGCCACTTTTGCCATAGAAGCCACGAGGAGAAAGGACTTTGAGGATGGGTGAGTCGTCAGAACGTGTTTTTCTGGTGAGGGGAGATAGTAAGGGGCCTCAGGGAGCAAGTCCACGGAGCATGAGGAAGGCTGGCGTCCTGGCACTGTGGGAGGACTGGCCTTAGGAACACGGACAGCAATTCCACTCAGCATGAGGGGAGCCAGGGAGAGGGCCATCGGGCAGGGCAAGGTCTCTGTTGGAGTGAAGGCAGCAGAAGAAGAGGGGAGAGAACAGACTTACCGGGGCATGCGGGTGGGGAGTTTGATCGAGTCTGGCAGACGGCCCTTCTGCAGTGTCTCTTTCAGCTGCGGGTGCAGCAGTCACCCCACAGCGGGACTTTGCCAGGTTAGTTAGCAGAAGAAAGGGAGTTAAGGCTTTTGGAACTAATTATGGTGGCTGTGGAGTCTGTGCTGGGCAAGGACTGGATAGAGGGTGGCAGTGGAACTCTCTTTTTTTTTTTTTTTTTTTAATTAAAATATTTTCCTTGGCACGGCGAAGTGGCTGATGCCTGTAATCCCAGCACTTTGGGAAGCCGAGGCTGGCAGATCACAAGGTCAAGAGATCAAGACCATCTTGGCCAATATGGTAAAACCCATTCTCACTAATACAAAAAATAGCTGGGTGTGGTGGTGGGTGCCTGTAGTCCCAGCTACTCAGGAGGGTGAGGCAGGAGAATCTCTTGAACCTGGGAGACGGAGATTGAAGTGAGCCGAGACCACACCACTGCACTGCACTCCAGCCTGGCAATGGGGCAAGACTCCATCTCAAAAAAAAGTTTTCCTCCCCAATCCTTTTGTTGTTGTTGTTGTTAAAATTGAGATAGGGGCTGGCTATGTTACTGATAGGGTTTGGCTCTGCCCCACCCAAAATCTCGTCTTGAATTTAATTCCCATAATCCCCACGTGTCAAGGGAGAGACCAGGTGGAGGTGATTGAATCATGGGGGTGGTTTCCCCCATGCTATTCTCTTGGTAGTGAGTTCTCACGAGAGCTGATGGCTTTGTGTTTGGAAGTTCCTCCTCCGTTCATTCTCTCCCGACGCCTAGTGAAGAAGGTGCCTGCTTCCCCTTCACCTTCTGCTAGGATTATGAGTTTCCTGAGGCCTCCCCAGCCATGCGGAATTGTGTGTCAATTAAACTTTTTCTTTATAAACTACCCAGTCCCGGCAGTTCTTTATAGCAGTGTGAGAATGGACTAACACAGTTGCCCAGGCTAATCTTGAGCTCCTGAGCTCAAGGGATTCTTCTGCCTCGGCCTCCCTAAGTGCGGGGATTGCAAGTGTGAGCCATCGCACCTGGACAGAATGAAACTTTGGAAGGGGCCGATTGTTCAGAAAGGCGGGGATTAGTATGCCCAGCCTTGCTTCTGCAGGGGAGGCACACTGGTGAGGTGCCATCTAGGCCAGACAAGGGGGATGGTTTCCCAGAGCAGTGACAGTGGAGAGGGGTGGGAGGTGACAGATGAGCTTGAGAGGACTGAGGACTGCACTGGTGGGTGAGGGGGAGTCCAGCTGGGCCTGGGCCAGGTGATGGATGAGAAGGCAGGGGCGATAAGCTGGTGGCACAGGCTTGGGGAAAGAGATGACTTTCTTTGGATGTGTTGAGAATGGAGGCGGCCTTTGTTCCAGAGACAGAGCCTGGACCTGACACCTGGAAGCCAAGCTGGAGGTGGGATTTGTAAGTCACTCATAGTGGAGGCACTGGTGGGTGTGGCAGAACCCAGGACCTCTTGAGTGGCTAAGGAGAGATGAGGAGCAGCTGGAGGCTGCAGAGGCCGCGCCTCCCTCCCCAAGTGACCAGCCCGCTCCGAGGGCTTGAGGTCACAGGAGGAGGGAGAAGGGTGGCGGCCCTGGCCCTCTCACTCAGGAAGGTTGGGTTAGAGCTTGAGAGGCCTGAGCACGCCCCTGGCTCGAGGAGGATGGGGACGAGGGTCAGGCCTGGAGGAAAGGAATGGCCGGGTCTGAGGCCCTGCATGGGCAGTGGGGTTGTTCTTAGCCTCAACTTTCCCAGTGAGAGCAGAGGATCTGTGGGGAGTGACATGGGGTAGTGTGAGGTCGAGGCCTGGGGAACCCTGAGTGGATCTCAGTCCCTATCTTTGGTGTGTTTCACTTTGTTTTTTTTTTTTTTTTTTTTTTTTTTTTTTTTTTTTTTGAGATAGAGTCTCGCTCTGTTTCCCAGTCTGGAGTATAGTGTGGCACAATCTTAGCTCACTGCAACCTCCGCCACCGGGGTTCAAGTGATTCTCATGCCTCAGCCTCCTGAGTAGCTGGGATTACAGGTGCCCACCACTACGCCCAGCTAATTTTTGTATTTTTAGTAGAGACAGGGTTTCATGTTGGCCAAGCTGGTCTTGAACTCCTGACCTCAAGTGATCTGCCCACCTCGGCCTCCCAAAGTGCTGGGATTACAATGTGAACCACCGTGACTGGCCCCACTTTGCTTTTTTGGTTGCAGTTTTGTTGTTGTTTGTTTTTGATAGGGAGTCTCACTATAACCAAGGCTGGAGTGCAGTGGTACATCTCGGCTCACTGCAACCTCCGCCTCCTGGGTTCATGCGATTTTCCCACTTCAGCCTCCCAAGTAGCTGGGATTATAGTCAAGCACCACCACACCCAGCTAATTTTTGTATTTTTAGGAGAGATGGGGTTTTGCCATGTTGGCCAGGCTGGTCTTGAACTCTTGACCTCAGGTGATCCAACCATGTTGGCCTTCCAAAGTGCTGGGATTACAGGTGTGAGCCACAGTGCTGGGCCCCTCCACTTTGAGTCTGTAAATGGAAACAGCCAATCCTTCCTTGGAGATAATGACCCTAACTCAGACTTCAGCCCACCTAGGGCCTCACAATGTGAGGCCCATTTTATAAGTGAGTTCATCGCTTCAAATGAGGTACGGGCAGTGCTGATGCAGGGCAGGTTCTCAGCTTCACTCAGGAAGGAATTCAAGAGCCAGCTGGTGGTAGAAGAAAACAGCTTTATTGAGGGAGCGGAAGGGTTACAGCTTTGTGACTATGCCACCCCCATTACCCCCCCACCGCCACCCCCGACATGGGCAGTGTGCTGAGAATAGCAGCTCAGGGGCAGATTTGTAGCTGTATTTGTAACCCACTTTTTTAATTTTTTGAAATGGAGTCT